CCACCCACTCTCACATCCACTCACTCGCCTACAAGACAGGACTTAAACGGCTCTTAGCGACTGCCTGATTAGCAAAGACACAAAGCGTCGTTCCAAAGCCTGGCAGCTTGCACTGGCTAAAGGCCGATCGCCCCAGGAACGGAGCCTTGACCTTGGAAGAAGGCAATCCAAAGGTTTTTGGGACATTGTTGGGAGTATAAAAATGAATCGCTTCCTGTAAATGTTGCACGGCGAACCCATTGAGAGCCTTGTAGGTCAGCAGCAGCAGCAGGAGGAGGATCTTATAGTCCACTTGATGTTTGACTTGTAGCCAGTTGCAAAGACGAGAGATCAGGTGTGACGATGATGTGCTTTTGTGACTGCAGGGATTCATCTTCTTGGTTCTTTCGGTAAAGTCACGTAGAATGGAAATAATAAAATAATAAAAATAAAACACAATAAAATAATTCTCACAGAATTATTTTATTATGTTTTATTTTTATTCTCACAGGATTATTTTATTATGTTTTATTTTTATTATTTTATTATTTCCATTCTACGTGACTTTACTGAAAGAACCAAGAAAATGAATGGGCTATCTGGTGGCCATACCACCATTCGCCACCAGGTGGCGTGCGAGTTCTGTTAGAATCCCAATTAAAGCGAGTAGAGATTTTTAATATGGGAATTGTATCGCTCGGGGTTTTAACACACTTCAGGTTTTGAGTCTTGCGGGGTTTTTTTGTCTATCAGTCTATAGTTCCTTTTTTGAGTCTACGGGGTTCTGTGAGCATCTGGGTCTTTCATGCGAGTCTACGGTTCTCTGCGGAAGTTATCGGTGACCTGGCTTAGACCCCCATGAACATCTGTGAAAAAGTGCTGGATAGCTCAACGCATTTCTCCAGTACGAATACATATTCTGATTCTGATAAACCCGACTATGCTTTGAGAACCCCGGTATAATTGGAGTTGGGCGGATGAAAACACAGGTTCAAACCCAGGACATCAGATCACTTACTATTGAAACTATTTTTAGATCACCAGGTTTAGGCCCCACTGAGCCAGGTAGCTTTTTTTCAGAAGCGAGCTGGCTACCACAAATGATCGCTCAGCGAAGTGACTTATCACGTGGAAATTTAGAGCAGCCCGAATACGCTGAAACGCATGATGTAGATTCAAAATGTGGAGGGGAAAAACCAGAGGACACGGAGAAAAATCCGCTCGACCACAGAGAGAGAGACACACAAACTCTAAATATATAGCAGGCGTCAGGGTCGGGATCGAACCCATGAACTCCTGTATACCAGGCGAGGTAATTAACATCTCGCCATGGAGAGAGAGAGAGAGACACGCCAACTCCAAATATACAGCAGGCGTCGGGGTTGGCATCGAACCCAAGACCTCCTGCATACCAGGCGAGGTAGTCGACATCTTACCACAGAGAGAGAGAGACACGCGAACTCCAAATATACAGCAGGCGTCGGGGTTGAGATCGAAGCGATGACCTCCTACACACCAGGCGAGGTAGTTAACCTCTCGCACCCCGACATAGCTGTTGTGAATCTCTATCAGCAAACCCAGCCACCCCTTGAGTAGCGTTTGCCACGGAGACACAGTGACTCACTGACCCTGCAAATGCCTCCCCCCTCTCACATTACCGGGGAATGTGGAAGGTTTATTTAGACTTGTCACCGTGTTCGTCTTGCTCTCGCTTGATTCACTGCCTGCCGGTAATAAATGCGCAACGCCGGCTCTCTCCTCTGTTTTGCTTTTTTTCGGGCGGCAGGGTGGCGCAAGTGGGAGAAACGCCCTGTGCCTCAAAGCAAGGAGCATACCTGTCAACCCATATGGTTTATGAGAATAGGTTTTACCTTTTCTGGCTATAAAACAGGTGTTAAGATGTTAAAACACCAAACTGGAACCTTTTGCAAAGAATCATGTCTGCATGAACCACATGTATTTGTGGTAAACATGCAAACAAAAAGACATGCTTTGGTCGTATATGATGCATTGGCTTTGAAACTGATTGGTCCACACCAGAGACAGCTTTTATTTAGAGCCTAGTCTCAAACAGTGTTTGACCAGAGGAAGTCAAAAGACAAACTTGCGCCGTCGTTTTAACTGCCACGCTGGGAGATTGGCATAGTTGTCAACCTATACGGCTTACCCCGTATTCTTGTACAGGGAAATTGAGTTTTCAGGTCCATGCGGCGTACAGCCGTTTCAATACGGGCACAAATAATGTGTCTTAGTCGTTTGTGTTTCTGCTCTTGTGATGGGACTTTGCAGGATGAATGTTGAGATTTATAAACGGACCGGGTACCCAATAAGGTCTGAATTGTTCTGTACTAAGGTAGAGACATAAGGGGTTGACAGGTATGTAGTGATGAGTGTCGTGGTGAGTGTACTAGTGGTGAATAGTAGTGGTGATTTTCTATTTGTTTGCGTTTCTCCCTCGTGATTCAACTTTGTTGGATGATCGTTAAGATTTATAAGGGACACGGGGTGACCAATAAGGTTTGAATCTCTCTAATAATTTTCGATTTAAAGCTTTCGTGACTGCAGGGATTCGTCTTCTTGGTTCTTTCGGTAAAGTCACGTAGAAGGGAAGTAATAAAATAATAAAAATAAAACAAAATAATTCTCACGACGTTTCGGCCACAACGCAAGCAGCCGTTCTCAGGTGAAAACCAGGTCTGTCGGGGAGACAGCGTCTGAATGAAACAGCACACGAGCTTGGAGCATATATATAAGCTGGGTTGGGAGGGAGGGAAAGGGCGCTTCGACAAAATAATTTTGCATATCAAGAGGAATGTAGCATATCTCTAATAAATTAGGCACTGATAAGAGGTTGGGGGCGGGGGTCGCCTGGACATCTGTTGAAGAACAGCTATGAAGCACTTCTTCAACAGATGTCCTGCATGGGTTTCCAGTGGGTCACCTCTTTCCTCCCATAGCTTGACAAAGATCCCCCGTGTAGCCTTAACAGACTGTTGGGGCAAGTGCTGTTAGCGAGCACTCGTGAAGGCCGGAACGGTACACGGGGGGGGGGGGGTGGGTGGCTAGCACCACGCCCGACCGTCTTTGTCTCCCCAGTGGCGATATTTACTACACACTACACTAGGTACTCATTTGAGGCTGAGTCGACCTAGGGGAGGCCCAGGATAGATTTAAATAATCGTGACTATTGGTCGTGACCATAATCGAACTTAGGTCGCCAGGTTCATAGTGCAGCGCGCTAACCACTACACTACCACTCCCCATAGCTACATACACACACACAAAATAACACCCAATCATAAAATGTAACTCGTATTACTAAGACATCCCAATTCTGAATAATTAACCTGCAAATTTACCCCATTGGAGTTTGCGTGTCTCTCTCCCCTGTGGTTGCGTGCATTTATTTTTCTCCGGGTCATCCGGTTTTTCCCTCTACGTGTAGAAACATGCATTGATATTATTTAGGTTATTTCTGCTGCTATAAAATCTCACGTGATGAGCCACTTTGTTGAGATGTCATTTGTGGCCCAGATTTTTTTTGAGAAATAAGTGAATACCTCAGTGGGCTTTACCTGGCAAGAGAAAACTAGTTTAGTTTCATTTGTATATTTTTAAGTGATTTTATTTCGATTTAAAGCTTTCGTGACTGCAGGGATTCATCTTCTTGGTTCTTTCGGTAAAGTCACGTAGAAGGGAAGTAATAAAATAATAAAAATAAAACATAATAAAACAATTCTCACGACGTTTCGGCCACAACGCAAGCAGCCGTCCTCAGGTGGAGAACAGGTCTGTCGAGGCGACGCTGTCGCCTGAGGACGGCTGCTTGCGTTGTGGCCGAAACGTTGTGAGAATTGTTTTATTATGTTTTATTTGTATTATTTTATTACTTCCCTTCTACGTGACTTTACCGAAAGAACCAAGAAGATTTAAGTGATTTCTTTAGCTTTCCTATACTTTGCAACGCCATAGTGTTTTTTGGTATTGTTTGTGGTTGTAACATTCCTACCCCGTGCCCCTACTTGACATCTGTGAAAAAAATCTTTAAAACTCATCGGATTCCTCCAGTTTAAATAAACATTCTGATTGTGAACATCACCCCCGACTGCAAGAACTTGGGCAGGCGACCCTCCTGATAAAGAATCCTGAGACTCTGTGAGGTTTTCTGAAGTAGTCAAGTGTAGCAATAATGACAATAAGTAACAATGGGTGAGATTTACACTATGAGATCTCTTTTACCAGTGGCAAAATATAATAGTACGTACCAGTTTAAAAGGGTAAAAACCTACTATTATATTTTGCCACTGGTAAAAGAGATCTCATAGTGTAAATGCTTACCCCGAGCTCTCAATACTCTGATATTGCACTGTGTTTGAGTTGTACACCTTCTGGTGTCATCTGGTCCAACACCAATCGGGACTAGGCTCTAAAGAAAGCCGTCTCGGGTGTGGACCAATCAACTTCAAGGACAGTGCATATTATTATCATGATCAGAGTTGCTTCTTTTTGTTTGCTTTTTTGACTACTTGTGTTGTGGTTATTGCAAACATGATGCCTTGAATAAAGGTGTCAGTTTTGTACCAGTTTAAAAGGGTAATAAGTATAACCAGTAAAAACAAAATTTTTCACTATAAATCCTTTATATGCGTGGCGGCTAGAGTCCTCTCGTCCTCTGGCTTGAGATGGCTGCCACCTATGGGTCAGATGATTGCATTGCACCATTAAGCAATTGGTAATTAAATATAATATTTTTGTCCTAAAAAGTGTAAAATTTTGGAAAAAAAATTTCACGAACATTAATTGGCACGCACAACGAGTCTGTGTGCAAAATGTCAGCTCGATTGGATCACGGGAAGTGGGTTAAAAAACGACCGAAAGATTTGCACGGTCCTAAGCAAGCAAGCGAACTTAATATAAAGGATTTAAAAACCTACTATTATAATGGATGAGATGCCTAGGCATTTTAAGGGGAATGTTTTTGTTCTTTAATGAGAAATTCCCCTCTCCTCGTCTCTCCGCAGCTGGACTGCCTCTCCACGCTTGTGCAGGCCGGCGCCAGCGTCACAACGGTGACGTCGCGCTACGCTCAGACGCCGGCGCACATCGCGGCCTTTGGAGGCCACCAGCACTGCCTGCTGTGGCTGCTGAGGGTCGGGGCAAACGTCAACCAGCAGGTGCCGGGTGGTGGTGGTGGTGGTGACAATGAATGGGGATGCTGGTGGTGGTGGTGGTGGTGATAGACAAAGCATGGTAATGATGATGATGGCGGTGGTGATCATGGACGTGGTGACGATGAATCGATGTGCTGGTGGTGGTGACAATGAATGGGGATCCTGGTGGTGGTGGTGGTGATAGACAAGGCGTGGTGATGATGATGGCGGTGGTGGTCATGGACGTGGTGACGATGAATCGGTGTGCTAGTGGTGTGCTGGTGGTGGTGACAATGAATGGGGATGCTGGTAGTTAACGGTGGTGATAGATATGATGGGGGTGGTGGTGAAGATGCATGCAGGTGGCGGGGGAGAGAGACATTGCTAATGTTGTTTCTTGCAGTGATTGTGATGATGAAGCTGCTGCTGTTGAACCTGACAAAGATGATATAACTCTTTTTGTGCTCCTCCCAATGACAGTGGTGATGATGATGATAATGACAATAATGTTGCCGGCAATGGCTATGATGATGATGGTGTTGCTGTCAGTGAGGATGTTGCTGCTGCTGCCCCCAATGACATTGACGTCTCCGATGATGACGACGATGATGACGACGATGATGACGACGATCATGATGACGATGATGACAATGATGGCGGGCGGCTCAACAGGACTACCTGGGCGAGACTCCCCTGCACAAGGCTGCTCGCTCCGGGAGTGAGGAATGCGTCCATTTGCTGGTGGCGTGCGGAGCGCAAGTTGAGTGAGTGTCTCCCCCACCACCCCTGCCTCCTCTCTCTCTCTCCCTCTGCGTGAGAGGGACATCGCCACACAGACAAAGATCCCCACCCCCTCCAATCTAGTATTATTAACACATTTCTGCGGAGGGAGCTGGTAGGAACGTTGGGTTGCTCGGTCAATGGCCTGCAGGGTCAACGGCGGCGTGGTGTATTCCGCAAATGTGCCCGACTGTGAGGGCGGGCACAAGCCGGCGTGAGTAGGTTAAACGTTGAGTTTTATAAGGGCACCACGGGGTGACCAGCCCCTCGCCACCCAGCCCCACCCCTCCCTCCCCACCCAGCCCCTCCCCACCCTCCCCTCTCTACCCAACCCTCCCCTCCCCACCCAGCCCCTCCCTGCACGACGGACACAATAATCCCCTGTGGGCTGGTGTAACCGGGAGGTTCCTACCAATATTATTTTTTCTAATCGTTTTTTAAATGAACAAAACTAAAGCAATTATTTTTATTTTACCAGGTAAGGGCCCCAACTGTGGACTGATTTTGGCTGATGATGATGATGATGAGAGACGCCCAGACCCAGTGCTTGAACTTAGGGGTTCAAGCACTGGGTTTCTGACACAGCCATTATGAACCACCTTCAGCGACAGAGACATGGATAAAGACACCACGATGTCTCTCCATATTGCATGCACGTTTCCCCAAAAAGGTTCAGGACAGATTCAGATATTTGCCACCGTGAGAGGGAATCGAACGGTGGGTCGCCGGTTTTGTTCGATCGGCGAGCTTAACCGCTGCACCACCGCTCTCCCCACGTCGCCACACACAGACACGCGCTCGGATATACCGACAACAGCTGCCGTTGGCTACCAAGTTGCGGTGCCAGGCTAGGTGCACTTCTAGTCCATCGAGGTGAACAGCTTTAAACTTTCCACCCCTCGCGTTTCCCCTCTCCCCGCGGCCCCGATCTCCCCCCAGAGTGCCCAACCACAGCGGCATCACCCCGCTGGAGTTGGCTATCTCTCAGGGCTTCTCGCGCCCCGCCGCCTTCCTCGCCAACGAGCTTGCCCGTCGCCGCGGCGACGCCGGAGGAGGAGGTGTGGGAGGAGCGGCGGTGGCGGCGGCGGCGGCTGCGGCGGCGGCGGCGTCGGTCTCCAACGGTGACGGAGGAGGGCGCAGCCGCAAGCGTTCCCACGGCGACGCCAACGCCAACGGTGACGAGAAGAAAGCGCGTTGCCAAGGTACGGCTGGAGCGCGGCGCGAGCGTCGGTTGCCGAGCGATGGTTGCCGTGCGATGGTTGCGAGTGACGGTTGCAAGGGTTGGCGCTGGAGACCCGGGTTGGTTGCTTTGCTGTGCGTGTGTGTGCGCTCTCCTGTGGCGTAGCGGTTTGCGCGCTGCGCTATGAACCCGGCGACCCGAGTTGGAGTCCCGCTCGTGGTCAACACCGGTGACGGTTATCCGAACCGGTCCTGGGCCTCCCCTAGGTCAACTCGGTCTGAAATGAGCACCCGGTGCCGTGCGTAGACAACGCCACTGGGGACACAAAGGCGGCCGGGCCTGGTGCTGGCCACCCACCCCCTCGTGTGCGGTGCTGGCCTTCATAGGTGCTGCTCGCTTAGCAGCACTTGCTCCAAAAGTCCGTTCAGGCTATACGGGGGAGCTTTGCCCACTCCCTAAAGACGAGGGGGCGGTGCTGCGTTCACCGCTTATTGCCACAGAGGTTCGCGGTTCGAACTCGTCGGGCCGCCCTGGTTACTACTGCGGTGTGCTCATTAACCGTAGACACATTACAAGCCCCTCCGCTTCCCCGGTGGACGTGAAAGATCCCGTGACGTCATTTTGAAAACAGAGAGCAGGCCACTGTGTGTGTGTGTGCCGCCGGGCGTCACGGTTTGAAGTCGCCTCGATTGAAAGTGACGAATTATTAAGATTGCACGCGCACGTAGAGCAACATTGCCCGATTCAGGCCGTTGCCGAGTCTTTCCCTTTGCCCTGTGCGGGGGAAGTTGCAACTGGCTGCTCTCTTGGAATGTTTGTGGGCATCCCACGGTAGCCAGGAGATGTGAATTACCTCGCCTGGTGTGCAGGAGGTCGTGGGTTCGGTCCCGACCCTGACGCCTGCTGCATATTTGAAGTTTGCGTGTTTCTGTGGTGAGATGTTCACTACCTCGCCCTGGTGTGCAGGAGGTCGTGGGTTCGGTCCCGACCCTGACGCCTGCTGCATATTTGGAGTTTGCGTGTCTCTGTGGTGAGATGTTCACTACCTCGCCTGGTGTGCAGGAGGTCGTGGGTTACATCCCGACTCTGACGATGCCTGCTGTATATTTAGAGTTTGCGTGTTCTCTCTCTCCGTGGTGAGATGTTAACTACCTCGCTTGGTATGTAGGAGGTCGTGGGTCCGATTATGACCCTGACGCCAGCGGTATACATTTGGAGTTTGCAAATATACGTTTTATATATATATATATATCCTCTTAGCACGTGATAGTTTTTTTTCTCCAGGTCCTTGGGTTTTTTTAATTCTCCGAACGTCCCGATGCGACAGGGACACCCTCCTCCTACTGCGCTGCACAGCTCTCGGGAGAGAGACGCGTGACGTTGCTGTGATGCGGCTCGCGAACTCGCGAGCTCTTAAGCAGGACTTTTGGGGCCCACTGGTTCGGTGCACGGACCGGGCGTTCGCCAAAGTGTTGGGGTTGTTGTTGTTTGGGTGGTGAAGGCGTCTCGTCTAGCCTGCCCCAATGGGAGACATTCGGTATTGTTCTAGAATTGTTCTCAACTGTTTTGACAGCCGGTGCTGTTTGGTTTAAGTGAGACTCCTGCTTGGGTTGTCTGTGATGGCTTGTTGTTGCTGAAGGGGTGACGCGGTGGCGAGATGTTCACTTCCTCGCCTGGTACGCAGGAGGTCGTGGGTTCGATCCCAACCCTGACGCCTGCTGCTGTATATTTGGAGTCTGCGTGTCTCTCTCCCCGTTGTTGCGTGGATTTTTCTGTGGGTCCCACCTGTTTTTCCCTCCACATTTTAGAATCAACGTCACGCGTTTTAGAGTTTTTGGCTGCCATACATTTCCACGTAGTGATGATGATGAGCCACTTGGTCGAGCTATAATTTGTGATAGCCAGGGTCTGTCACAAACGTGTTTTTAGTTTCTAGTCGTTAGTTGATGCCAGGTGTATTGAGTTCAGCTACACAGATTGGGGCTGGGAGTCTCGGAGAATGCGTCGGAGCTAGCTGTCACCCGCCAAGATCCCGGGTTCCAGTCCGCGATGATGACCAGGGTTGTTAACGTCTTTTGTTTTTTGTTGACGCACCTCCGGTTAGCACGGTGGGCTAGGTGCGATGCGAAACCGTACACGTAAAAAATTACAATCGGCAACAAGATAAATGGATGACCGATCTCTCTGGGAACCCACAAATATCCAGCTTTGGTGAAGTACTTTGAAATATGCCCCATGACCGATATGACGTGGTGAGGCATTCATCCAGCAGCGGATTGACAAGGCGCTGTAAGTTTGTTTCTTTAATGCACGGAATATTATATTTCGTTGCTTGTCGCGTGACCAAAATCGCACTGGGACGCGCCGTGCGGTTTGAACGGGGTCGCTCTTTGCTCACGGTCGCTTTGATTGCCACGAAAAGAAGAAAATAAGTTAAGCGGATTTGGTAATCGAATCGACAATTTCGCAAACGGGTGATCGACAATCCCTCATGAATTGACGACGGGGTGTGTGGTCGGCCGAGATGTTGACTGGGATTCGAACCCCCGTGCGTCTCTCTGACTTGTGAGTCAATCTCTCAAACTTGAGAACCGTAGGAGTGCTTGATCGGTGTGGCGTTAACGATATCGATCGTTCTGTGTGTGTTTGTGCACACAGCCTGGCACAAGTGCCGTGGTGACGTCACCGCCACTTAGTGGCGAAGGGCGGTTGTTGTTGTTGTTGTGTTTGCGTGAGCTGAAGTATCACTTGACATTACAGACAGCGCTTTGTCCCAACGCGGTAAAAGTGTAAAAAAAAATCAGATTTGGCAACATACCCACATTGTGACGGACGAGACACCTGTGTACGTGTTTAAATGCGGGCGTTTGTGTCTTAACTCGTGCGTGTGCGCGCGAGGGTGTTCTGTGTGTGTGTGAATGTGTGTCTGCGCGAGTACACGTCTGGGCGTATGCGAGCGTGTATGTGTGTGTGAGGGTGTCATTGTGTGTGTTGCCAATGTGCGCGCGTGTGTTTCTGTGCGTGTACGATCGTGCGTGTGCACATCTGTTGTGAATGTGCGTGCGTGTGTGCGCGCGCGTGCATGTGCAAACATGTTGGGTGTCTGTGTGGTTGTCGTTAGTCCACTTTATGCGGTTTGTCAAGAACACGCGGCGAGCATTCATTGACCGCACCTAGGCTCGGTAACTTCCAAAACCTGGTGCGGCTTCCAGGACTTGGGTGGTCATACCGACCAGCCTGGGTTGACCGTAACAGTGCGGAACGGGCGATGTGTAAAACGTGCGGTGGATTCCCGCGTTGAATCTCGGTGAATCTCTCGCGCGGTCCGGCGGTCGGTGCTTTTCGCCGCTTGCCCTGGAGGTTTTCGGGGTTCGAATCATACAGGGGGCCACCCTGGTTAATGCTGCAGGCGGTGTGCCTAATTAAACTGGAATGAAAACCAAATACATATACTACACGCCCTCCACTTCACTCGACGGTGGACGTTTAAGGTCCCCGTGACATAATTTCTCAACGGGTGTTGCCGGCGTCGCGATGACGAGTTTTTCCGAAAGTAATAAAAAATTAACGTGCAAGTTACGTACCTGTCAACCCCTTATCCAGTGTACCTACCTTATTACAGACCAATTCAGACCTTACCGGTCACCCCGTGCCCCTTATCAAGCCCCACGTTCATCCTACAAAGTCCCATCACAAGGGGAGAAACACAAACACAGAGACAAAATCATATTGTTTTTTTGCCCGTATAGAAACGGCTGTACGCCATATGGACCTGAGAACTCAATTTCCCTGATACGGCGTAAACCGTATGGGTTGACACGGTATGAAGTTACAACGGAGCCTTCGTGATTACCATGCGTTTAAACAAGGATGGCGGGAACACCAAATGCACTCGTTGCTGTTGTTGTGAAGTGTCGTGTGTTGTTTGTAAGTTCAATGACGGTGATGTTCATGCGTGCGTTTTAATCTCAATGCTTTCCCTGTTGTTGATCCTTCACTTTTCACCTGACTCTTCCTTTGTGTGCCTGTTGTGTGGTGTGTCCATGTGCCCTGCACGTGTGTTGTTTGTGTGTGCTGCGTCTGTGGTGTTTGCTGTGTCTGTGGTGTGTGTGTGTGTGCGCGATGTACCGTGTGTTTTGTCTTTTATGTATGTGCGTGTACATGGTATGTGTTTGAACGTGTGCGTGTGGCGTGTGTGTTGTGGCACGTCATGTGTGTGCGGCGTACGTGTGTGTGTGTGTGTGTTTGTGCGTATGTGGTGTTGCAAGTTGCCTCTGTGTATTTCGCTCTGTGTGTGTTGTGTTGTCCGGCGTGGTGTGACTCGTGTGTAAATGGTACGTGGGTGTGTTGTCTGCTGTGTGTGTTTTTACATGGTGCATGCGTTATACGTACTGCGTGGTACGTGTGTCTGTGTTGTGTGCACGTATCGCTTGGTCTGTGTTCGTGTCGTGTTTGCGATGTGTCCGTCGTGTGGCCGATTGCTTGCGTTGTGCTCCTGCTTAAATTCCGTTCGATCGCCTTCCCAACTCCTCCTGCAGCCTCCTCCAATTCTCTCTCAGCTCTCGTTAAAATGTGATTTTTGTCCGCCACGAACCCGTTACGCAACGTTAGCCCCCCCCCCGGGTTAATCCACCCGCTGCGGTTAAAAAAAAAATTGCCCGGGACCACCCTCGGCAATCGAGCAGGGTCTCTGCGTAACAGCCGGTGTGCAGCGTGTGTGGTTCTTGCAGCCAGCGTCAGTCGGCGACGAGTGTTGCTTGGCATAGTTCGTAGACGTAAAGTTTAGAGTTTTGGCGAAAGGGGGCAATTTGAACCGTCAGCCGGGATACCGAAGCCGTTAGGGGCCCACCAAGGAACGTCGTACAAGTCAGGGCCGCGGTCCGAACATTTTTGTTGTTGCCGACGTGAGACGCTCACGGGTGTGAGTCTGACGGCGCTGCCTCCGATCTCCACGGCTCCGGTTTGTACCAGGCTAGGTACTCTTTTCTTTTCTAAGAGGTCCCCCTCTCCGCACCCAACCGC